TGTCAGGATAATTTTTAATTCCCCTTCGATTGACCACAAAGCCTAGTAGCTTCATCGAAGTTACTCCGAAAGTTCACTTTGCAGGATTGAGTTTTAACTGTATTTCCTCAGTCTTAGGAATAATTTTCTCAAATTTTCCATTTGCTCTTCATCAGTCTAGGATTTAGCAATCATATCATCCATATACACTTTAATCACTTTGGCATAATTTTATGAAAAAGAGTCACCATAGCCCTCTGATATGTTGCTCATGTATTTTTCAACCCGAATGACATCACCTTATAGCAAAATGTGCCCCACATGGTCACGAACGTTGTTTTCTCCATATCTTCTAGATTCATTTTTATCTGGTTGTACCCTGAGAAAATATCCATGAAAGAGAACCATGAATGTGCTGAGTTTATCCACTAACACATCAATATGACGTAGAGGAAAATTATCCTCCAGGCTTGCTTTATTTAGGTCTATATAGTCCACACACACATGCGCACTTTTCCATCTTTTTTCTACACAGGGACTACATTAGCTACCCATTCAAGATATTTGGCCACTTGAAGAAAACATGCATCGATTTGTTTTCTTATTTCTTCCTTAATTTTCAATAACATCTCTAGCCTCATTCTCCTTGGATTTTGCTGCACTGGCCTGTACTCAAGCCTTATTGGAAGCTTGAGCACCACTATACATGTATTTAGTCCAGGCATATCTTCATAGGACCAGGCAAAGATATTCTTAAATTATTATAGCAAATTTATCAAATTCTGTCTTGCCTCATGCGATAAAGTCGTACCAATCTTCACTTCTCTTTTCTCTTCATCAGATCCCATATTTACAATCTCGACTTCTTCTTTATGAGGCAAAATTTGTTTATCTTTTGTTTCTACTATTCTTAATAATCCGTTCGAAATTTCACATTCCACCTCATTTTGACACTCATTAATGTCTTCTAAACACAAAAGCCACTCAAGATCAATCTCATGATTAGTAATAGAAAAGTTCATGCTATAAATATTGGGACACCTACGAAGAAAAATATGGATCGACTATATACTTTGGAAAAAGGAAAAGTGAAACAAAAGAAAGAAATAAAAAAAAATGAAAGGTAAAATGCAAGAAAAACGATTGCCACTTGAGAAATGAATGAAAACATCTTTTTATTAGAAGCAAAATGAATGATATCAACATGGCTGCCCATTACGAAAAATCCCTTGATGCTCGCGGGAACAAGCATAAGGGTTGGTTCCGAATATTACTCTGGGTTAAGACTAGAAACTACAGGAAGCTCCTCCATAGTCTAATTTTTGAGCTTATCTCTTGGAAAACATGGGCGTATACCAGTTAGATATTTCCCTTGGTGGCTAGATTGTCCAATCATATTGATTCTTAGACCTTCCATGGCGTTATCAAGCATTTATTCATCTTTTATCATCTCTGCCTCTCTGATTGCCGTAATTAACTGCTACTCAGTAACATTCGTTCCTCCAGATCTGAAAATATACTTCATATCTAGGAGAGACATGGGTTCCCAATAGATATATTCTCCTTTCAATCGAGCATTTCTCACTTCTACTTTTTTTTTCATTTCTTTTTGGCGTTGTTGATTATTAGACTTGAAACTTAGCCCAAAACGATCTCTTTTCATGACCACATGTTTTAGACGTAAGATCCCTTGCAAGTGTTTTTTGAAGCCTCTTCCCATCATTGCTCCTTTTCTCAGAGTTTATCGCACAACCATTTTTGTATAGTTGGACAAGTGAGGGCGAGGAAATTTAGCCCCCTTTGTGATAAAAATAAAATTTACCAACTCTAAAGCATTCTTGTTTGGGTTAATGTAAAGAGTACCTGTAGTTACTGAAGCGATGATCTCTTGCTCAGTTTCAAGGCTAATCAATATTCCATCAATGACAATTTCAATTTTTGGTGCAAGAAAGAAGGCACCACTCCAGCAGAGTGAATCCATGGTCTCCCAAGCAAATAATTGTAAGTGGGATTAATGTCCATTACTACGAACTCGACATTGTGGACAACTGGACCTATTAACAATAGGAAGTAAATCTTCCCCATGACATCCCTCTGAGTACCATCGAAAGCTCGGACGATGTTTTGATACATTTTCATGTGGGATATGTCTACTGAAACCTATGAAGAGTAGCCATTGACATCACGTTGAGTGCAAACCTATTTTCAATTAAACATCTAGGTAACACATGGTCATTACAATGTTGGTAATGTTTAGAGCCTTCACAAATCCACTGTCTCCTTCCGGGATGTCATCATCAGTGAAAGTAATATAATTGTTGGCAACGATATGCCCCACTATCCGATCTAACTTGTTCATAGATATATCCTCCGGTACAAAGATTTGATTCAACACTTTTAATAAAGCGTTACGGTGCACCTCTGAATTCATCAGTAAATCCAACATTGAAATTCGTGTCTATTATTTGTACCACTGCTCCACTATGTTGTATTCATCGTGCCTCAAAAATTTTAAGAATTCATGGGCCTTTGCTTCAGTAACAGGCTCATTAACCTTCGACGGGGGGTCATCCTCAAATATCTTCTAAGGTGGTGGAGCTTTTGCCTTGCCTTGCCTTTTTTCTTCTCGAACTCTTTTGATGTCTTAGGAGGATAATAACGTCTACCACTCCTGTGAAGTTCCCCACTTCACTCATCACCTCGACAGACACCTTCATTTTCTCATCAGCGCTTACTTTTACTTCCTGTAGCACTTTTGGTCCTTCCACAATCTTTACCTCTCCTAATACAGAGATATCATTGGCGTAGTTCCACGACACCCTATGTGAATCATTGAATGATAATGAAGACGGAGCAAAAATCAGTATTTTAGGAGTGATAGGGGTGGGATTTGCCACCTTGGGCTTCACAGTGATAATGATCGGCTTCCTAACCTCGTATACAGGTTTGATGTACTCAGACGTGCACACCTCATCCTTTTTCCTTTTTTCAACATTTTCAAAGAATTCAATCTCTTTATTGTCTATCATTGATTGAATTAAAGCCCTGAACTTGTGACAATATTGAATCACATGCCTTTCATCATTGCAAAACTTGCAAAACAATCCACTTTGTTCTTGATCAGACACCAGATTTTATTTGATCAAACCAACACCTGCAAGTTGCTCAAATATCCAGTTGAGTGGGGATTTAATCTCAAATACGTACTTCTTTCTTTTTCTCATATTCTCCTTATGAATGGAATTTACTCCTTGCCCACCATTATTGGGTAATGGGTTCTTCGCATATCAGGGGAGTTAAATTCCAACATCCCCGTATCAATCAAATTCTGAATACTCTTTTTGAAAGCCACATATTTTTTGATCGAGTGCCCCACAACATCAATGTGATATTCGCACCGTGTGTTCACATCATACCATTTCAGATAAGGCGGTTGAAGCAGTTTGAGGTGGTATAGACGAACTACATTTGACTTGCACAAAGATATGACAATTCAGCATAAGTCACTGGGATAGGTTTAAATTTTAATTTCTCCACTTCCATTCATTGTCCTCGATAATCACCTTTATTGGTGTTAGATCTGTACTAACAACCCTCGGTTGAGTAAACGTGACATTCTTTGAATAGCCCTTATTGTAAGTGGTAGCGGTATTTACTTCATTGTCTTTTTTTAAAAATACTCGCTTCTCTCCACCCTCGATTTTTCCGCTCTTAATAGTTGTCTCTATCAGCTCGCCTGAGATTAACATGTTAGAGAAACTCCTTGAAGTGCTTTCTAACATATGATCCAAGAAATGACCTTTCATTGTATGAAGGACAAGGACTGTGGTTTCCTTCTCCAAAAGTGGTGAATGAACCTGTGAAGCCAAATCTCTCCATCTTTGGGCGTATTACCGGAAACTTTCATTTGGCTTCTTCTCTATATTCATCAGGGCTACCCGATCGGGTATCATGTCAATGTCATGTCTATACTATTCTATAAATGTTCTGGTCAAGTCTTTCCATGATCTGACATTTGCACGACTCAACTGTGCGTACCAACGGGCTGCAGAGCCAGCAAGGTTGTCTTGAAATCAAGGAATGAGAACCTTTTCATCGTGTAGAAATCCTGTCATCTTTCGACAGTACATTGTAAGGTGAGAAGATGAACAACTAGTGCCATTATACTTCTCAAATTCATGAGTCTTGAATTTGTGTGGAAGAACCAAATCGGGCAACAAATTGAGTTCCCTAGCATCCATATTATATTCATCAATGGACTCCATTGCACGGACTTTATCCTCTAGCTTTTTGTAGCGATCTTCAAATTGTTTAACTAACTCAAACTTAGTATTTTTCAGCCTCACTTTCAATCTCGAGGTACTCAACATTGTCATTAAGGTGAACGGGATGTGTTACAGATGTTCCAGCAGCATTAATTTAGATTCCCCCTCCAGATAACACAGTTTCAGGTTGATCCTTTACATGAGCTGACGAACCATCATCAAATGTGTAAGAACCTTTGACATGACCCTTTCGTTTGGGGTCTACTCCAAGTAATGTGATAATTTGATCTACTATATCTCTTTGAGGTTGGGCCACTTGGTCCCTCAATTCTCTAGCCAAGTTTCTAGGCATTTTTTAGTCTCTTCAAGTTCTTTCAATTTATCTTCCATGTTCTCTTTGTCTTTTCCCCGAGTGTTATACGAGTGAAAAATAATTTTACTAGGAAACAAAATATCCTCGAATGAAAATATTCAATTTATAAAAAAATTTAATGAATGTATATGAAAATAAATACAAATGAATATTAACGACGAAATGATAAAATGTAAAATGCATGAATGTAAGCGGTATGGATCTCGAAAAGCCAGTTATCGTAGAACAACTTTCAAAATGAAAACAAAGTCTTGTGCATAATGGTTTCTCTCTACAAGTACGACCTAGCCTTTCCTACTCAACTCTACATTCTCAACAATCAAGGACATTACTCTCTTGCTTCTCTATGAAATCGGGTCGAAGTAATGCCCCACTATTCTAGCCTAAATAGCCAACTCTCCCAAGTATCGAGCAATCTCGCTCATCTGAATTAGCGCATCGATGATGACACGCTCCTTAGCAGCATTTTGATCCTCGTAGACGTCGATCACCTCTTGTCGTTCGTCGTATGCATCACTAATAGTGTGGTCTAAATCGGAAACCTGTTCCTGGTAATGTTGCAATTCTTCCTCAAGGCCCTGACCTGATGACATAAATCAATTCTCTACTGAAAACTCTTACTGAGATATGGCAAGTCAAACATGTCATTGCTTTTCAAAGAAACCAATGCATACTCGGCTAAACTGGACACATGATCAGCTGGCAAATTGTCCTCTTTCTCCCCCTGTAGAGCCTCAAACCATGGGTGTACTTTTATGTTACAAACCATCTCACGAATGTTTTTGTTTTCCATTTATAGCAAGTCTTATATTTCTACAGCTGACTAAAGATCCAATACCTATGTCTACGAATGATGCAATAAGTGCAAAGAAAATGAAAGGAAAATGGACAAAAAAATAAAGAAAAACATGGATTAGTATTGTCATAATGATAATTAAATTCATAATATAATAAAATCTAGCCCGCATGATTTTCTAGTTCGTATGCAATAACATAGAAAAAAGAAGATAAAGGTTTTTAGAGTTGATTTCTTCCTTGTGTACTTATTCGGGTACCTACAGTGAAATTTCGGCAGAGTTTCACATCAGGTGGATCTTATGGTAAATTAAATTCATAGTTTTGGCTCTAAAAGGATAAGGTACTCGAAATTATCCTTGTTGATACCCCTTTGGGTTAATCAAACTCTCGATCCTAACCCATTACAAGCTTATGGATCAAGTTAAATTTCGAGAGGGAGCATTTTCCTATGCCTGACACGAGGAATAAATTCCTACGTGTCAACACACCTTTTCGTCCTACTAGGATTCAAACTCCTAAAAATAGGATATAATTTTGCTATGATTTAAACTCCTAAAAATAGGATAGAGTTCTACTATGATTTAAACTCCAAAATATAGGATCCACAAGCACTATAAATAGCCATTGTAACTCACTATTGTAAGACACGATTTACAGACAAAATACAGAGGAAAACACGGAAAATACAAAGGCAAAGCTATTGTAAACGATTCGAAAAGGAAATAAAAGGTAGCATTTTTTTTGATTCGTTCATTTCTCGCATGTGCACGTTATTTTTTTAGATTTGGTTCGAATAACCCAAAATGTGGGTTGCGCCGATGACCAAAAATGGGTGGGGTTTCGAAGTTTCAAACCTAGATCTACCCCGAGGCGTGTTCATTTTTTAACCCCCTAATGTGTGATATCAACATTAATTATCTTTCAAATTTGGCCCCGATCTTTATTTTTCTTTATATTAGTCCTTTTATTTATTGTATAAATATTTTTATTTATTTATTATTTACATTATTGTCATTATATAAATATATATACGTATGTTCTTTTAAATGATTTTCAATTGATTTTTTTACACTATATATTATTATTATCTATACATATATTTTTTATTTATTTATATTCATTGGTTATTTTTTAATACTATATTTTTTATATATATATATATATATACTTTTTTTAAAAAATATTTTACTTATAAGCGTATTACTATATATATGTATATATATTGTAATTATTTTTATTTAGTTTTTTTTACTTTATCATTATACATATATATGTATGTTTTAAATAGTTTATTTATAAGCCAATTATCATTATATGTATACTTTTATATTTGGTTTATATATTTATTTATTTGGTTTTTTGTTTTTATATTATATATATTTTCATATTACTATTATTATTGTTATGATTATTATTTTCTATTTTACTCATTTATATATATATATATATATATATATATATATATAATATTTCATTTATTTATTTATTTATTTATTTTTCCTTTTATTTTTTTTACTTATTTTTATTCTTCATTTTTTCATTTTTTCCCTCTGACACATCTTATGACTTTTTAAGGGTATTTTCATCAATTAATCATAGGTAAGTAATTCATTATCAAATTTTACCATTTAATTTAAAATTACAATTTTCTTAATTAAGACAACGAGAAATTACGTAGTACCGAAAGGGCGATTCAAGGGTGCTAATCCTTCCTTGACCGTAACCGACTCCCGAGCCCGACACATTTCTGGTAAGACGCAGATCAGGTAACAAATAGGGTATCCGATCAACCCATTTATTTTTAAATAAATGATCGGTGGCGACTCCCAATCCATATTTTTCAAGTCGAAGCCCAATCCCGGGGCCCAACCGAATACGGTTGCGACAGCTTGGCGACTCTGCTGGGGACACAGGTAACTGAGTCAGGCTAAGGTAATTTCCAGTTGTCTTTTTAATGAAAATGGTAAGTTTAAATTTTAAGGTAATATTTCGATCCTTATTACTTACTTTTGATTATATTTTCGAGTAAATAGTTGTACTGACCGTTTTTTAATGATTTCAACCCTTAAAGATTTTTCATCCAAAGGCTCTATACCCGAGCTCCGAACCCGTTTTAAGTGGGGGTGAAAGCGACGCCTTCGTGTGAATTTATTCATCGTATGGGCCTAGCAAGTAACCTTTGGGATTCATATATCTTATGCCTTTGTGTGAATTTATTCTCTGTGTGGGCATAAGGGAATGTTTCCTCTCAAGTTTAACTTAGTCCACACAAGCCTGTGATGGGTTAGGACTAAGGGTCTGGTAAGCCCAAGGGGGCACCGACAAGGAGAACTCGAGTACCTTTTTTTTAGAACCTAAACCCGGAGACTACAAGGAGTTAGGGCCCACCCCAAAACCTCGTTTTAAACCCTAGGATGCCGAAATTATTTTCTGCTTTACTTTCTGTTCAAAACATGTGAACTAGAAATTTATGCGGTTAGGACTTATTCAAAATCAACTTGCGAGATAGAGATCATGTCCGGGTAGGAATAATAAGCATGTGGGGTAGGACTTTTATTTTCATGATTGCTTTGATTATTATCCTTACCTTACTAACTCTTTTCATTTTTTTCCTCACTTTTATTTTATTTCCATCATCTGCATCATTCAAAAGAGGTGTTGATCCACCAAAAAATGTGTTCGTTAACCATAAATAATCTGCATTAATGGACAAAGGTGTTGTAATACAGGAGATTAAAAACCCCGAGGTACGACTATGGTCCGAGAAGACTCCGAAAGAAAAGGGAGACAATCTTCAAGGAAGTTATGTGTCAGAGCTGGTTAGTTATGCCTCTATCAGCCTAAAACAGAACAATGTGCAAGAACTTCGAGACATCTGGGACAGTTGGAAGAATGATCGAAAATAGAAGTTCAGTCAGCGGTATGGTGACATTGCACTTTTTCTTCATGTTAAGACCGGTGAGCCCTTAATCAAAGCCTTGGTTCAATTCTGGAACCCGGGATACAGTTGCTTCACTTTTAACCAAGAAGACATGGTACCTACCATCGAGGAGTATACTACACTATTGCACTGTGAAAGCATTAAAATGGAGCGAGCCTACATCAAACACATCAAGAGTCAGCCTTTCAAGAACAGACTGGCTAAGATTGTAGGAGTTGATGAAAAGTGGGTGACTGACCGACTCTGAAACAAAGGTAACGTGCAAGGAATTCAGTGGATCCACATAAGGAAACTAATGAATGACCACCCTGATGAATGGAAGACTATAGACCGTTTCTGCACTAGGTCTGTATGGCTTGATCATCTTTCCGAAGATTTTGGGATGCATTGACGCAGCCGTGGTGGAACTGTTTGAGCAACTTTCGAAATGAGTCAAACAAGCACCAACCATCTTAGCCGAGACCTTTCGGTCTCTCAACCATTGCCGAAGAGCTGGCGGAGGTAGATTCATTAGATGTGTTCAGCTCCTTCAAGTCTGGATTCACAGCCACTTCTGGAAGACTAATTAAGTTGCCTACCACCGATTTAGCACTACGTATTCACCTTTGAGAGAGTTCATCACCATGAAATGGCATGAAGGAACTTCAAAAGAGAAGTGGATGAAAGTCTTCACTCATCTATCAAGACCGAGATATTACTTGGAGAGCCCTCTGGTTGTTCCTCAGTGACGTTCTTTTCCAATGTGGGGACTCTGACACTATGACCTTACCTGAACTTTGGGATGCAGTTGGGTATGCTCCATTGTTAGTACTTAGACATTATGGGGCACGTCAATTTGTCCCAGCAACATGCGGACTAGCTAAATCAGAATTTGAGTATCACGGTGACAACTATAAGAAGATGATCAAGGAAGCAGTCGATTCATGGAAGAAAGTATTCCGGATGGATGTTGTAGCTGCCAGAAACATGCTTACTCCGGACTATGTGGAGTGGCGAAGATTAAGAAAAAATGACAATATCCAGTGCCAGACTGTGAGGACACCTGAACCCTGGAAGAACATCTCAAGCCCGTCTTTTTTGAACTTAAGATAGCCACGATAGAGTTTGAAGCTGTGAATAACGAGCTAAAGCAGAGGGTAAAGGAACTTGAAGCTGAGCGCTATCAGTGGAAGCTAGATTTCGACTCTCTCAGAAAGATCGAGCAGATAAACTTGAAAAAGAACAGAAAAAAGTATGTTTTGAGCTCGAAGACTTGAGAAATGGATATCAAGATAAATTCAAGGATAACTCCAAGTTGAAAGTGGCTTCTGAATACTGGAAAGACGAAGCTCATAGCCTGAAAAGAAAGTTAAAGGGTCTGATGAGAGAGCTTGGAAGGAACAAATGAAGACTGCCCAGAGGCGCTTAGCAGACATTCAGCATCAAAAACCAATGCTTGAGAATCCAGATGGCTAATCTGGAGAAACAACATGAGAGAGATGACAAAACAATAGCTGAGTTAGAAGCTATTGTAGATGGGTTCAAGAAGAAAGTGAGCAAGCTTCAGATAGTGCTCTTCGATGGAGGTTTACAGTGGCGTTTCCGTTGGGAGCAAGCACAACAAAGGGTGAAGGCCAGAGACGCAGTCATCCGAGACTTCCTGGATCAAGTACAGAAGGCAGCTCGTCATCTACACGGCCTGGCAAGGGAAGCTGGAATGGTCCGACAAGGCATACAACCAGTGACAGATGAAGACATGAGACTTGTCAATCTTCTAGAAGTTGTTCGGGGTCTAGAGGATTTAGTCCGAATGTACCTTTGATCGTTTTTATGTCTCTTACAAGATAAAACATTTTTGTCTAAGTAAATATTATTTATAATAATGGACACTTTTCTGGATCAATGCCTCGAACATTTCATGCATTCTTACATTTTGCATTTTTGCCTTTTTGCATCTTCATCTACGTTTTCAAGCATTTTCACAAACATGAAATTAAGTCATGAAG